CACCACACCAGCGCCTAGTCCACCCTTCAAAGCAATTTTGGAACTCTTTTTTTCTGGAATGGCCATCAGAGCTGTCATCATATTACCCTTGATGTCCCGAATGCCATCAAAATGTTTTCCTTTCAATATTTCCTTTATCTTCAGGTAAAGAAGTCATTGGGGGACAGATCAGGTGAGTAGGGAGGGTGTTCCAATAGTTTTTTGTTTACTGGGTAAAAACTCCCTCCCAGACAGTGCCGTGTGAGCTGGGGCATTGTCGTGATGCAAGAGCCATGAATTGTTGACGAAAAGTTCAGGTCATCTAACTTTTTCACGCAGCCTTTTCAGCACTTCCACATAGTAAACTTAACTGTTTGTCCAGTTGGTACAAACTCATAATCCCTCTGATATCAAAAAAAGTTAGCAACGTTGCTGTAACAAGTTCACAAACTTAACTGTCAAACCGCGTATAGACTCACTTTCAACCTCTCGGCTGTAGCATCTCCACCTGTAAACATTCTCATCTTTAAAAGCAAACCTTCCTCTCCATCTTAATACCATTTTATAGAGTACCTGCTGTGTTCCAGATATTTCACACACATTAATTTAATCCTCATAACCCTGTGAAGTAGATATTAATCCCATTTTATGAAGAAAGCAGCTTCCTTGGACAGTGTAGCAGTTGACAGCATCACACAGCAGTGGCAGAGCCAGAGTTCAAATTCAGGTCTGACTCCCAACACCTGTGTCCAAAACACCATGAAGTTTCTGCTCCCTTTCAGCAACTCTCAAGAGTAATGTGGGCTCATTTCTTTCCTGACCTCCCATACTTCCCTAAAACCATCTTAATCTGACATGTGCACACACCTTTGCATTAAAATTGCATTTCCTAAACTGGCTAGTGATCCAATTGCCAAATCCAATGGGAATTTTTCGGCTCTTAACAAACTTGACCTCCATTTGGCATTGCTGCACTGGGTACTCCACTCCCTCATTTTTGAATCCCTCTCCTTTGTGAACTATCAGAATTTGAACATATGCTGCATTTGCTGTGATTTATTGTGCTTCATCTATAAAGGTGATAATTGGTACCTACCCACATGGGATTATAAAGATTAATTTGAGTGAAATGTTTGGAACCTTATCTGGCACAAGGTTCAGTAAACATGAACTATCATTGCCTTTAGGACAAAATAAAAATTTATAATCCAATCTCCTCTCCTTTCCCTCATGAGAATCCTCATGCTCTGATGTATGGAGTTGACCCTTCAACAATGCTGGGGGGGTTAGGGGTGCTGAACCCCAAGCAGTTGAAAATCCATGCATAACTTTTGACTCCCCAAAACCTTAATTAGTCCCCTGGTATCCATGTGTGATTGGTTCCAGGACCTCCTACAGGTACCCAAATCCTTAGTTGCTGAAGTCCCTTATATAAAATGGCTTAGAACGATGCATACAATCAGCCTTCTGCATCTGCGGATGTGAAACCCAGGGTTATGGGAGGGGGGGGAGCTGACAATATACTTAAAGAAAAATGTGTTAAGTGGACCCATGCAGTTCAAACCCATGTTGTTCAAGGGTCAACTGTACTTGCAAACCCCAAACAAGCCATCTTCACACTTCTAAGGTCTCTCCTTATGCAAGCCTTTCTTTGATGGCCAGGTAAACCTCAAGGGTCAACTCCGAGAAATCCTCCTTGGCCTAATCCCTCCTAGCCCAAAGGACTCTGTGCCTATCTTTATTGGAGGACTCATTTTGATCAATCACGCCTCCCTAATTTTAAATCGGAGCCTTTTGAACATTCTAAAATATTTGTTGAAAAAATGACAAGTTCCCCTCTCTGTAAAATCAGAGAATGCACTATAGTAGTGCTTTTCATAAATTAATGTGCATAGAAAACATCTGGGGATTTTGTTACAATACAGATTCTGATTCAGACTCTGGGGCAGGGTCTAAGACTGCATTTCTAACAAGCTCTCAGGTGACTCTATGGGCAACTTTTCAAGCAGCAAGAGGCTAGAGGATTCCATTTAATTTCTCTTAAAATACTGGGATTCTAAATTCATTTAACATTGCCTTAAAAAAAGTAAAAGAAAACAGGCACCAGGTTTGAAATCAAGCTGAAATTATACGGCCAAGAGGCAAGTAAAACCCAGAGTTTCAAATATAAGAGATTAATCAAGTCCACCACACTGAGCCTCATTTCTTTTTCTTTTTGGCTGAGCCTGTAAACTGGCTCAGCAGACTAGGGACTGGTACCCTAGAGACTAAAAGAATATGATGAAAGGTACTGACAAGTCCAGAAACCCATACAAGGTGTGAAATAGAAGGGAACATCTAGATGAGAAAATAGCTTGACTATCTCAAAAATAGAAACAGCATGGGTCAATGATTTCAAGGACTTTACCAACAAAACAGATTAAGCATGTAGGATAAACAAAATGTCCTTTTAAGAAAACATTTTTTACAGTATCACTGAGAAGTTTAAATTTTTTTGTTCGGGTTATCATGACAGCAGTTTAAAAGGGTGGGTGGGGGGGAGGCTTTCTCTTTGAGAATGTAAGACCACTAAGTACAGCTGAGCTCAACAGTACCTCTGCTATACATCAGATCTTTAACAAAAATTACTTTACCTCCTAGGATCATTTTGAACTGCAATGATGATACCTCCTAGGATCATTTTGAACTGCAATGATGATGGTTTTTGTTACTTATCTGAGAGCTAATATGCTACAGATAGTACTGAGGAATGAATTATCAATTACCATGATCTTGCTAATATAAGAGGTAATATGGTAAAGATTTGGAGATAAGGTTTCAAAATTGTAATCCTGGGTTTGAGGATTGCTGTAAGCAGTACAACTGAGATTTGAACCCAGCTCAGTATGTGCTCAATGACCAGTTAAATTATATAAAACTGCTTTATACTTCAATTTCCTGTAAAAGCAATAAAATGCCTACTGTGTGACTTTTGAGACAAGAATATAAAACTAGCCATTAACATGACACATAAAAGTACCCCCAAAATGTGTTTCCCCTTCCACCTTAACAATTTAAACTTCATAACAATTTAAACTTCAAACTGTTAGAATTGGAAAACCAAAGATTAAACTTTGCGCCCAATTCCCTCATTTTACAGGGTCATTAAGTGGTTTAACAGGATAGTAATATCAACTGAAAACTTACTGCAAATGCCAAAGACTATGCTAACTAAGTGCTTTACCTTTATTATTGTAAAAGCCAAGTTAGATTGGGTAACATACCCATTTTACAGCTAAGATAACTGAGGTTTGGATAATACTGACTTCAAGCTTATACATGGCAGTGAACTGAAACATTGCAATAAAACACCAAAGCCCACATGCCTCAGCCAGACACACAAATCTTCCCCCACCAAATACCTTGTTTAGCCTTCCTTTTGACTAAACTCTTACATCTAATAAAGGTCTTCCTATTTAATTGATTTGCCTGCCTAATATATAATAATGTAATGCATCATTAGGTAGAACAGTGGTATTTAAATTGTCAAAGACGGGCAATAACCTGCCAAATGAATTACCTTCTGGCAAATTAAAAACTTTGTAGTTATAATAATCAGGTAACAATTATACTTAATGTTTTAATCTTGGCTATGGTTTGCTATGAAATCTCTCATTAAGTATTTAAAAAACAAAAACCCCAAACCACCTTTTGAGTTAGCTTAAATTATAGAGAAAGCACTGGTTTAGAAGCAAGCAAAAACTAAAACAAAGTTTAGTTACTGCCAATCCACTCCTAAAGATGCCTTTTTTGTAAGATGTACTAGATAGGTACAGCAGTGAATTCTCATTTCCCTTGTGGTAGAAGAGTTTAAAAGTACTGAGTAAAACATTACAAAATACAGGTAAAAACATATTGACCCTCCCCCCACCCTAGATTTAGATTATGATGTTTTTAATATGAACATTTAAAAAAATCATTGCATGGCTTAAGTCATGTGGACAAATGCCAGAGTTGGAAAATACATTTGAAAGTCATGAAACACTGAAACACCTATCTACCTTACGCCAGTTCCCAAGTAGGTACACTTACAATGTTTCATAATCTTTTACTTAAACCTTCTGAAGGAAGTATCATAGTATCGTAAAAACTAAACACAGGCAGGCTGCACCTAAGGCAGCAAGATTATGGCCGCAAAGACAACAAAAAAGTCGCCGGAGTCAATCAACTCTAGGCTCTTAACTTGTTATGAAAAGTGGAAAGTATGTGCTGGGGTATTCAAGCAGACTCTGAAATTGATCAGACAAGGCAAAGCGAAACTGGTCATCCATGCCAACAACTGCCCAGCCTTGAGAGAATCAGAAACAGAGTACTATGAGTTTGAGCTCTGAGCAACAGCAGTTCGAGTCCAGCCCGAGCTGAGCAGCCGCTGAGCTGCCAACAGGTAGCAGGATGGCTCAGCTTAAAAAAAAAAAAAAAAAAGAAACAGAGTACTATGCTATGTTGGCCAAGACTGGTGTCCATAACTATAATGGCAATAATATTGAATTGGGCACAGCATGTGGAAAATACTAGAGTAGGCACACTGGCTATCATTGATCCAGGTGACTCTGACATTATCAGAAACATGCCAGAACAGACTGGTGAAAAGTAAATCATGCAAAATTTTTCTTTAATAAAACTGGCCAGAGCTTGGTTTAAAAAGTGAAAAAACAGGGCCGGCCGAGTGGCGCAATGGTTAAGAACTGGCTTGGGACGCCAGAGGGCCCCGGTTCAGATTCCACATGTGAGGACCGGTGACACTGCCCTCCGCAGCATCGAACAACAGCTCAGCTCAACCTGGAGCTGGGATGCCGTGAGTCACCGGCGATGGCGTGGGGGGTGGGGTGGGGGTGTGTGTGAAAAAACAAACCACTAAATACAATCTTGACTAGCCAAGAAAATACTTACCTAAATGATACCAAGTATAAACCACCTCCACATTTGATTCTCAAAATTATCCAACCTCAAGTTAATTAAATGACTCAGATTCAGAGCAACAGTTGGGTAAAATTGGGTAAATTTTTTTTATTGGAAAACAAATATACAACTTGGAATGGATTTGAGGCAAATTGTGCCATAAGCAGATTTTAAGTGGCTAAACAAAGTTTAAAAAGCAAGTAACAATAAAAGAAATGTTTCTGGCACAGGACCAGTAGTACAAAAAAATAGTGTACGAGTACCTGGATAATACACCCGTTTTGCAATAGTGCAACTTTTAAGTACATATTGTTGACTGTCCATAGTCCACGCAGAGTTACAACTCCACACTTCAACAACAACATGCTGACAATTCCTAAAGAAAACTACTTAAAAAAAGGCATAACCCAGATGTTCCCTCATTTGACCAACTCCATCTAAGTTTAGATGTGCAGAAGGGATTAGATATATCCAGAGTAAGCCACATGCAACATGTTACTTGATCAATTTTCTAAAATAAGGTTTCAGGACAATGACAGTAAGATAAGGGAAGAAAACATGGAGGAATGAAGTCCTAATTACTATACATGCATATTTTTTTTGACAGTAGGGGGAAACCTTTTACAGATAAGTTACAAACAAAGAAAAGGCAAATAAACAATTTTGTACAAGAAATTTAACACATTCTGTACAATGTCTTCACTTTGCTGTCATCATTTGTACAAACTCTGAAAAAGAAGTACACAAAAAGTCGAGTCAATGGCAAAAGACTGACAAAAACCAATCACATTTGCTCAGTCACTGAGCAATTACTATTCCTTTTCCTTTCCTCAAAATTATCATAAAGCACAGAGGAAAGCTAGTCTACTGCCAAGATTGGAAATTCATAAACCAAAATCACAAATAAATCCAATTAATGCTTTAGATAGCTATTATAAATAAAAAGCACTCTTGCTCTTAGTTTAGTGTTACAAACGATACTTTTGAATTTGAAGCATCAAGTTTCAGACTAAAACTAATTAGAGGAAGAGAATCCAATGAAGAAAAGTCACCTTAATTTCGTTTTAAGGATCTTGAAATAAAATTTTAAAGCTTTTCAAATTATTCTACAAATGTTATACAAAAATTGTTTTAGCAGTTTGGAGTATAGTGCTTTTCAAACTTTAGTGTGTACATGAAACACCCACCAGGAATCCTGTAAAAAATGTAGATCATAGGTACAGAGGTAGACCTGATAGTAAATAGATCTAAAAAGTTCTCAGGTGACAATGATGTTACTTAGTCTGTATACAACATTCTGAATAGCAAAAGGTTAGTACATATAACTAACCGTTTTAGCATCTTCATGCGGTGGGAAGTGGTTTACTAATTTTAACCTATCAGATACCTAACACAAGTACCTCTGAACTTAAAGACAAAACATAGAATGAGGTGGTGAGAGTGTGAAAGGCTTACCTTCATAGTTTACTTGCCCATCACCATCAATATCTGCTTCCCTGATCATTTCATCAACCTCTTCATCTGTTAACTTCTCTCCAAGGTTTGTCATCACATGGCGAAGCTCTGCTGCACTAATATAGCCATTGCCATCCTAGGAAAAAAGTCAGTAAAATGTGTAAGTGAAATCAGAGTTGGAATGGAAGTTTATTAAATTTTCTCCCTTTATTAAGGAGAAAAATATACTACTTTAGAAAGCCATACAAACTAAAGAGAATCTGCAAATAACTGATTATCAATTAAATGTCACTGAGAGCCAAGGAGGATATCTGATATTGAAATCATTATTTCTTAGCTCCAAAGTCAAGTGTTACCTCCTTGCCACAAGATTAATATAATACACGTTACTAGGGAACCTGAGCTTACACTAAATTCTTAAAAAGCTTTTGCTTAATAAATTATGTTGCTAAGTCATCAGAAAAACAAGTCTTCAAAGAATAAGAGGTCCTGATATCTTCTTCATTTCATCCATCTTCATCCTCAAATGAAAACTTAACAAATTCAGTCCTTGAAAACCTACCTTATCAAACACACGGAATGCTTCTCTAATTTCTTCTTCACTGTCTGTGTCTTTCATTTTTCTTGCCATCATTGTCAGAAATTCCGGGAAGTCAATTGTGCCGTTACCTGAAAAGGTTTGTTTGATTGAAACGTTACAATAGAATTTAAATGCCACTTTGTCAACTTCCTCCTCCCCAAACCCCCAATAAAAAGACTTACTTACCATCAGCATCCACTTCATTTATCATGTCCTGTAACTCTGCTTCTGTGGGATTCTGCCCAAGAGACCTCATTACAGTTCCCAATTCCTTTGTTGTTATAGTTCCATCACCATCCTTGTCAAATAGTGAAAAAGCTTCTTTGAATTCTGTTTGAGAGACCACAATCCAAATGTATAGGTTAACAATAAAAAAGTAACCTCCTAAATGAAATGTATTAATCAACTCTTAAAGTCATGCCGGGGGTGCCCAAAAAAATGTATACACATGACTTGTACTCATTTTTGTTATTGGTATATATTGAGTATTACAATTTTAATAGTTTTTCCTTTCTTAAAATGTGTCTACATTTTTTTTGGCACCCTCTGTATATGAAGATAGCACCTGAAATGAGATTTGGATTCCTGAAGGATTAGGTGGGAGAGCCTTGTGATATTTCAAACATCTTTAGCTAATCATACCAGCACATACTCATATTGATATTGATACCAGGGAATTTTTTCATCTAAATCTTACAGGGGGGGTCAAATATCTAGACCAGAAAAAAATCTAATTATTCTGGATTTAAAGAGAAAAAGATTCAAAGCCCCAAATGATGGGCTTCTCTATTTTCTGTTAAAGCTGCTCTGTGGACCACAATTCAAAATTACAGATCTAACCTACACTCAGAATAGAAAAATAAGAGCACTGGTACCATAAACATTATTTCTACGGCGCAATTATGCTATTTGCATTATGTTTAGAGTACTCCTCAAAAATTAAGTCTGTTTCATCACCCACTAAATGAGAAACAAGAAAACTTTAAACTTCAAACAGTATACTATTGGCTAGTTTTCTTTTCTGGAAGGTAGAGAAGCCTATCACCAAATAATCTATAATGATGTTAAAAATGGGATGATCAAGGTATGAATGACCATTTTTAGCTATATTATTGAGAACAAAGATAATTTAGACTTTTCTTAAAATATGAAAATCCCAAACTTATAATCTTTACGATCTTATGAAATTACTTTTATTTCACCACTAGGTTACATGGAAAGCTGTTGGAGCGGCAGTCCACAATACCTGGCTGTACCATTTATTTTACAGAGAAACTAAAGCAGAGATTAAATTTGGTAGTGCAAGGTCATATAAATGTGCTAATGACAAACCTAGTACTTTCTGAGTAAGGTAACTGCTATATTAGGCCCTAGCAGCAATCAAATACAAAAGCAGTTCCAAAGTTCACAGGGCCGTAAGTTCCCCCAACATATCTAGAACATTTAAAAATGTATACCTGACACATGTTTAAGAAGTGGTGTGCCTCCTCTTACAGTCCAAGTTTCTCTATTTCCTGCCTGTCTATCCTCGCTCCAATTCATATACCTCCTAGTTTCATTTCATCTCTTCTCTGGACTCAACCACTTTTCTGATTTTGCCATTAATATATTTAATTATCTTCTTGTCTCTTAGCATACATCTAAATTCAAACCTTAGTTATAGTTTCTTTTAAGTGCCTCTCCTCTTTATCTCCCCCTAAATTCTGGAAGGCACCACTACTCATATACATTTCTTATCTGTCAATCCACTGTTAAAATTGCTTCCATCTCTAACACAACAGCTGAAAATGCTAGGTTCACCCATAATGACTTGGTACCCAATCCAGCAAGTATGTTTCAGTATGTGAGGTCATACAGCATAGAAACTGAAATCAGACTTTGGAACATGACTGCCTGGGTTAAAAATTCCAGCTCTGCTACTTACCAGTAATGCAACCTGGGCAAACTAAGTTATTACTTAACCTTTTTTCTACCTCAGCTTCCTCATTTTTGTTATGGGGATATCTGTACCCACTTCCCAATTTTAAGAATTTAACTACATGTAAAGCACTTAGAACTAGGTCTGGCAAGTAAGTACTTAATAAATGTTAAGAAAAGTATGATCTCCTTTTCCTGCCTATCCAAAATGACACTAAAAAATCCTCAAATATCTTTTGGCTTCCACGACAGTACTTTAATTTACATTCTACCTTACAATGCCAAATGCTCTTGCTCCTAACTTGTCTCATACAAGTAGATGGTGACCAACTTTCTTATATTTCTTCTTTCCTTGGCCATTTCATCTATGTCCACTCATAATGAAGATTTTGTATCTTTGGTATACTAATCTCTCTCAATAACACCACCTTTATCTCTACAAGACATCCCCCCTGGCTGACCTCAAGCAAGACTTATGAAAACCAATTCTATACTCCCCAGCCACCCTAGGAACACAAGCAAAAGCCACTTAACTCTTTCCCTCTTGAATCTGTCAAGTCCTGCTGAACTCTGCTATTTAAATACTGCCTGATTCTTTTTTCATCATTACAACCAATAATTTGCTTCATGGCCCCATCATCTTTGCCTGGACAATTATAATACCCTCCTAACTGGGTTATTTAAAATTACCCACAACTACTTGGGTCCTATTTACCTTCTTGGATCACCATGTTACTTTCTTCTGTTTTAAAATCTTTGAATTGTTTAGCTTTAGATATTACTTACTAGTTGTATGTAGTTTGCTGCATTCATTAATTAGTAACATAGTTCCACTTCATTTAAATAATACTTGTTTTTAAAGAACTCACTTGATACCAGAAGCTTAGTACCAAATTACTCATGGATTTTATGGAAATAGTATATATAGTACTAACCTAGATCAACCCAATGACAAAATTTGATGACATTTACATCTTAGGGTTTTATTTTTTTTTTTTACAGGATGTAGAATAATGTCTAGAAATATACAAATCTAGTAACTCTTAAAGTGTTTGCTGGAATAAGTGAAAAGCAGAATAAAACTATATGCTGTAACTACAATTTATGGATACAAGGAAGGAACAAATGAAAATATTTTAAAGGTCAAGGTTTATTTCAAATTTCTCTGTATTTTTGCACTCAAGAGCCAGAAATACCTGAAAAAATTCCCTGAAATAAGAATAAACTCAAAAGTACAATTTAAATTTACCTGCCTTTACTGCTCATCACCTGTACTTCAGAACTAGTATAATCTTCATTTATAGAAACATGTCATTCTAAAACAGTAACTCCCAGGAATGACTTGAAATATAAAACCCAAGAGTCAAAACCTAAATACACAATAAGAAACAAGTCCCGAAAGTCACAAAATAGCTATCTTCAACATAACTGACAGGACCTCCCAAAATCCATTCTCTAGTTATGCCTAAATTGAAACTTTCAGGCAAGTCATACTACTAGTCAAGTTTTATTTGTTCATTAGCAACCCCAGGGCCCTTTCTAATTATTTATTACATTAAATTTATAATTTTATTAAATTGGTTATAAAAACAATTTCAACAAAAGAAAAATCAAATGTCTGTTTATCAACTTCTAGGTATTTAGAAAACTGAACTTAATAATCCCTTAGAGGTCATGTTGGCCTTTGTTGGCACTATGAAATTGCTGCTATAAACTAAGTAAGGTTAATTTTTTTTTAATAAGTTTTATCCCTATACTGGAACTTGAAAGCTTAATGAAGGTTTAGACTTAAGTTTCTTTAAAAATGAAAAATTCTTCTACGTTTTTTCTATTGGTCCTCTAAATGTCAAACAACAACAAATAATATCATGGCAGTCAAACAAAATTAACTTGTTTGTCACACCAGACTCTTCTCTGGATTGCTCTTTAAGATGAGGTAATGTAAACAAATCTAAACAACAAGCATGCTTTTTTCTAGACCAAGTTATTTGGTGTTAAAATTTCTACACAAATCTGAAGTAGTAATGATTATTGTATAAAGAAAAATAGCTTAAAAAGCACCTTAGTACATTCAATGTTGCATTGCATGCATAAAGCTTGTAAGAACAAATATGTCTTAGACTCTAAGATGTTACTGGTCACCAGCGATTACAATTCACCAACCGGATAAAGAAAAAATTTGTCTTTAACCTCAAAGGTGGACATTGAAAATACCAAATTTAGGAAGGGACTCTGGGAGGCAGAATAATTCTTGGGATAGAGTAGGTAATGTTCCAGAACATTTTTTTTGTGTCACACCTTTTTGAAAATAAAATTCATTCATTCAATAAATATTTATTCAGTCCTTACTACGTGGCAAGCACTGGGAACACAAGAAGTAACAAAAAGATCCCTGATCTCACAGGGTTTTTATTTTAGTAGCATAAAAGCTTTGGTTTCTCTAACCTAAAGGTTCACTAAAGCCTGTGGTCCAAGGAACATCCTTTTTAAAAGCCTGGGAAAAGGCAGGGTAGGGAGAGAAAGGAGGAATATATTTTTCTCCCACTCTCACTGGAAATTTAATTGTATGATGTAAGTCAATGAAATGACCGAGTTTATCTTAAAGACAGTGTTCCAATGAACTACAACTGTCTTTATAAAAATGCTGTATCAATCATTGAAGATTGATTCTCTAATATTTCACAGACACAAACTATTTTTTAAAGAATTGTGTGTTGTGTGTGTGTTGGAAAGGCAATAATGAGCATCAACTCTGTGACAGGCACCTTGAGTACCGTATTTCCCCATGTATAAGACACACCCTTTTCCAAAAAATTTCGTGTCTAAAAAACTGGGTGCGTCTTATACAGTGGTTGTAGGGGGTTTTTTTACTTGCATTTCCCGGAGGACGAGGCAATATATGAAGACAGTGATTTGTAATCAGACACAGATGAGGACAAGCTAATGGTTGGGAGTTTTGACAGTCATGAGGAGTTGTATGAATTTTATGATGAATACAACTTGAGTTCAATAACTTTATGTAATCCATTTTCTCCAAATTTCGGGCCCCAAAATTAAGGTGCGTCTTATACATGGGAACATCTTATACATGGGGAAATACAGTAATACTTGGCCTTATAAAGTGAACATTCTGTGCCATGTAGAGTAGGCACAAAGACCTGAGTGGCAATACCGAGAAATGAAAGGCAGCGAGGAAGGTCAGATGTATTAGAGAATATAAGAGTTTAAGACTGGAAATCTTAGATAGTCCAAGTCAGTTCCTGAAGAAGACATTATATAAATAACTATTTTAGAACAATTTACATTTCATTGATACATTTAAAATAGTATAAACAAAAAAGAAATTATTTCCCAAATTCTCCTTGATTATTTTTAACACTCAATACATGCAATTTACCAATCCCAGAAAGCAAATCTCAGGTTTAAGTCAAATCCACACAATAAGTAGTAAAAATAAAACCCGCTTAAATTTGGTCCTTTAATGCTAATAGCTTTCTACTTCATATAGTCCTATCAAATATTTATGATGAATGTTTGAAACTAGTGATTTATTGCTCCTCCAAATTTGTTTGAAGTGTGGAAGAGCTTACTTTAAATGGGCTATATAACTGAGTTCCAACCAGGCTTCTCAGTTTTCTCTAGCATTAAAAAAAATTGCTTCAGTGTATTTGAATACTTCAAACTCCTTTCCTTGCCTAACAAAATTGTGGCGGTTACAAGTGCTTGATGCTTGTATTAACAAAAGCCTCTAATAAAGTAATAGAGTTTGAAAGACATTTCAATACCGCATTAAAAACAAACAACAAAAAAATCCTTTAACAAGTTTCCCCAACATTTTGATGTTAACCAGCCATCTCAAAGTATCAGAATAAAATCGAAAGTACTAATGTTTAATGGTATGGCATAAAGACAACATGACATCAGGTTTTATGTAACAATTTCACATATTTCCATAGCAAACCAAAGGAGACAAGATTTAAGCTCATTTCAACAGCTGTCACTGCTTTGTAAGACAAAATTACTACCATCTGTCAAACACAATGCTAATTTTTGGACCTCCCTTTTTTTCAATGGAGAAATGGTTATTCCCTGACTGACTATATATTGGGCTGTCGGGAAAGTCATGACGCATTTTTGCAACGAAAAATATAGAAAAAATACGTCATGACTTTTCCGACAACCCAATATATGCAATTCTAAGGTTAAAATATTAGCTAACTTTAAACTGGGGTAAATTCAACATTCATTTTCTGATTCCACATTTCAAGTTAACTATTAGTTACTACTACTTGGCCCTCTTGTGGAGACTGATTTGGAGTTGCAGTGTTAAAAACTGCCTAGAATTCGTGTTTTAGAGTAAGATAATCTTCAACAACAACAAAAACAACAAAGACCACCACCACCAGGCTCCAAAGTGTATCCACATAAGACTAAAAAACATACGTCTTTAATTACAGTTAGTTCCACACATCTTTCACAAGATGTGAAAGGCAAGTTTACCTTCTCACTTGCCAAAGCAGGTTCAATTACTGTATTACATTACACCCGTTTGTTATCACCTATTACATAGATCAGTCAATTCTTTCATACAAGTGTCTCATTTTGAGGCTGGCTCTTCAATTTATAATAAAATCCAATGGGTACAATAAGGCAAAGTATTTCTCACCTGCAATCTGCTCTTCAGTCAGTTGGTCAGCCTACAAAGAGATGAAAGATAGGTAAATACTTGAAAGTATGTAGATTAGCAGTTACAGAACAAGTTTTAAAACTTTCAAGGTTCAGCAGGTACCATAAACTTAATTTAGCTCAACATTCCTTAGCTATCAGCAACAAGCAAACAGTTGGGTAGAAAATGCATACATCTGGTTTATCTTTGAAGCAAGCTGTCTTGACCCCAAGTTTAAGATATGAAAATATTTCAAAATACGTTTGAAAGTCTAAATTTTACACAAATTGAAAAAAAAGAGCAAATCTGGCATATTAAAAAGTTTAATTGGACTCATCATTCTAAAATAAGGATAGAATCTAATAAAAACATTGTTTCCTTTTTCAAAGCTACCATACCTAAAACTTAAGCTTACCTCCTCCTCCCTTGGTAGATAAAACCATTATTAACAGAAATCTCCACTGAACCAAAAATAATGTCCAAGAACCATATTCAAAATTGCCCCTATAAATGATTAAACTTATCATTTGGACACGAAAGTGGTTTTCCAACCCCTCTCAAATTACTAATCAAAATTCCCATCTATTAAAAAGATTAAAATCCAAGCTATCAGTTTTTACCCCTCCTCACCTGCCAGGCAACTGCAGAGAATGCAGAATTAAGAACACTGGAAGTATCTTATTTACCAGATGTTAAGGCCAGCCACCCATTTTCTCTTGACTTCAGAAATCCCCAAGTGAGCCTAAGGTTTGTGATGTCTTTAGCACATGGATAAGCTACTTGGTTTTGCTTTAATAAATAAGTAAATAAATATGTTCAGGCATTTGCTAAAATCCATTATAGATATATGTTGCTCTTATTATTGTCTTCACAGTAACCCTATAGTAGTATTATCCCCTATCCTACAAATGGGGGAAAAAAGAGGGGTTCAGCTTAAATTTCAGTAAGTGGGAGTACAAAATGCTAATCAGTCGAGTCAGGATTAAACAACACTAATGCCTATAAGTTTAAAATTCAAAGCACCATAATATATATTTGCAGAATATCAAGGCTCCTTGTTTTTCATGTGACCTTCATCTTTGGGCATTTCACTGCTTACTAATATACATACCCACCATAAAGCAGCTGCTTATATGGTTCTGGGAGGCACTGATAAAGAATTTAGCCTTCTATCTAATATTCCTACCTACACGAAGTCAAACATACTATGATTAATCCATTCATTTTTTGGTCATTTTTTGGTTATGGAAAGAAGAAACACTGCCTGGTTTTATGCTTTTTAAATGAACACACCCCTGGAAAGGATAACACCTTAATGTAGAATAGCATCATATTTTCTGTAGGGGACAGCAAGAGACAATTTGAGAAACCAAGAAAGTGAAGTTTCTTTCCCTGCTCAACAATGCAAACTCAACTTGTTTCTATTTTTTTTTTTTAAAGAAAAAAAGCCAAAGGCCTGGTAACTTAAAACTGAAGGGCCAATAATTATGTTAAAATACACAAGTTAATAAAATTATCTCCAGCGAGTATTTGGTATAAAATCATAGATTGTTTTCCCTAGGAATAAGATTTAAAACCTAGTAAATCCACTGAGTTGATGTTTACTTTGTTAGAGGCTATAGCTTCTAGTCTGATTCCATTTTGCAGGACTTCTATCCTTTCTGAAGAAGGCTATCACGGTGGCACAGTGGAGGAAAATGCATGGTGTTTTGAGTCATAGCCATGTTAGTATCCCAGCTCTGCCATTTAATAGCTGTGTGACCTTGGACACGTTACTCAACCTCTCAGTCTTGATCTGTAACACAGTATTAATATCTATTAATATCTACCTTACAGGGTTATTGTGCAGATAAAATGAGAAGCTATGTAAAGTGCTAGCCCAAAGAGTTCAGTGATCATTATTTTATACAATAAACCAAAGAACCTTAAATATCAACCTAACTAGTTCAACTTCCATGCAGAAGATAACATGTATGGCATTATCAAGTCCTTAACAACAAACCTACCATGTTCTATGTTAACTTAAAGCTGAGAAAATATATTTTCACAAAGTGAAACCACCAGTTGCAACCCAGGGAAAAGATGTGGAAGGTAAAATCAGTTCAGAACTAAAAACGTTAAGATAAACGTGTGTAAGGCACTGAAGCATGTGTGAAAGCTGAAGGATTCATCGATGGCTATGTACAGAAAGGGAGACACTGGGTTCATTCTCACGACATGGTGGGAGGGAAGATTTGGGGAAAGCTCATTTATATGAAAGCTGAGAAGGTCTTAAAAGAAACAAGGATGTTAGCTATAAAACAAAAATTTTTCAATTTTGCTTGAAAATTTACATTTTAATGACCCCACACCATCTTGTCCAGCTCCCTGCCTCAAGGTAAATGCAAACTAAGAAAAGATCACAAATGAGCTTCAAGGGAAAAGTAAGCACACAAGAGACTAAGTTACTCACACCTAAAAGCACTCCATGATTTTGCTTGGAATGTTTCAAGAAACTTAGGGTTTTTTTTATACTTACTACTAATTCAGAGTTCACGGTTTTAAAGTAAACTTTACCAGCAACATTCAGATTAAAGCCTACTAAAAGCAGGAACACTAGGCTCCTTAGTAGTCTTAATTTGTAAGCCTTTTCCGACTACATCAAAGAAATTTGATTCTTACTTGTCTATGGAGAAAGCTGTTTTCTTACTTAGAAGAATTATACTTTTGGGAAAACCTCAGGCTCATTAACATGTTTATCTCAGTAAAGTGAAGGATAATTCACTGGAGAAATGACTAGTTCTCCTTACTTCCTTTATTTCTACAACTGCTATACTGCTTGAAAGCGTCCAGGCATTAGTAGTATACTCTCAGGTTCCACCCCAGACCTACTGAACCAGAATCTGCATTTTGGAAAACTACAGGTGATTTGTAAACATAGAGAAACACTACTAACCTAGACTATGTGCGACCTGAAGTGAATGCATTATGTACCTATATTAAACATTTCCTAAATGGCATTCAAAAGTAGGTATGGATACTCCTGGAGTTTACCCAGTGAAAAGGTGGCATACAAATAATCCAAAATTCTAATCTGAATAAATGTGAGTCCACAGGCTTGAAATGTAACACAAACTTCTTCATTCATTCCTGATTCTTCCAAGTGCTACTTCCATACAACAAAGGGTTCATAAGTAAATTTTTCTACAATTTCAGAAATCAACGTTATTTGTTTTACTTACATCAAAAGAATTCTCTATTTCAGTAAAGTTAAAAGATACTTTAATACTGATAGAACAGCACTTACTATATATAGCATCTTGGATCAAAAGAAAAACCACTATAACAAATTACTTCATAAAAATTAGGATCTTTACCAAAGGCCTAATTTGATCATTCTAGTTCAATCTAGAACTTTCTGCATTTTAAGAGATCCATAGTGATTTTCCTCAGTCTAACAGAAAGCGATCTCGCAGTTTAATGTAACGATTTATCAGTCTCAAGCCACAAAATTTTCAACCTCTTCACATCTTTTATTTATCTAATCACCCAGCCTTTTCTTAAAGCAATCCCCTTTTCAATGAGCATGTATTGATTACATGTAAACCCAAGAGCTATGTGAGCAATCTTGTTCTATTTCATATAAACTTTTTATTCTTTGAGTTCTAATTTTCAATTTCCAAGTCTTATGATTATGAAGTCACCTTAAGACAATTTCCAAATTAGATGACTGTCAATTTAACAAACCGGGGGAAAAAAAAAACCACCCAAAGCATCAATGATGCAAATAACTACAAAAGCTTATCACTGGCAAAAAACCACAAAAACATAGATACAAAACTCCAAGCATCACCAGGAAAACCTATTTGAGTTCTTGATTCGATTATGATACAGGGAAAAAAATCCTTACCCTTCATTTAACAATCTTTAAAATTTTCCCTCACAATTTAGAACTTAATATTACATGCCTATATGTAATGTAGTTTCACCTAGGAATAAATTCGAACATATTCAAATTCAGGATAAAGTAATTTATGAAGATGGAAGCAGTGCATCAAACTTAAATGAACACTAGTTTTAACCAAGGTGAACTCCTCTTTCCACACCCATACAGGCTGGAAGTTTCAGTTGGCAAAGATTTCCAACTCCTGCTTAAGATGTCACCTTGCCTCCTGGGCACACCCATTGCCGTAAACACTTGGCAGAAGGAACCACAAAATAACTATTGCAAATTACCGCCCGCCCGCCTTAGAAAAAAATTTTTTTTTACAGGAAAGAACAGGAGTTCCGGTCTCAAGTGACAGGAAAATGTTTCTTTTTCAAATTCCCTGCCCCGCAAAATACTCTTCTATCACTACAGTATTTGACAACCATTACTGTACAAATGAATTGAACTGCACTTTAAGATGATCTGGCAATTTGTCTACGGAAATACGAGTCATTTCCAAGGGGACTGGAACGTGGGCAATGCTATGTGTGGCCGTGGTTCCTTGACATTAGGCGTGAGCACGTGAGTACTCAGAAATTAGGATATATTCAGTGGCCCTTTTCAAAGGCATCCTTCAAATTGTTACATGAGGTAAGATCGACTGTCACAACAGAACGGCGGTCACCCCGGAGTTTGCTTTCCAGAGGTGGTGGACAGGAAACACCTTTCAAGACCCTTAACTGGAGCCGATGGCTTTCTCTAACAAGATGCGTACCAGGAGACGCGCCTGACTTCAGGTACAAAAAGCTCATTTTTTTCGACAAAGCCACTTAAAATTTTTTTTAATGTCCAACTTGGGTGGGGGGGGAAAGCCCCAGGACCCAAGAGGAGAAAGATCGACACTCAGCGAGCTTCCTTCTCACCACCGGAGAAGGAACAGAAGCTGCAGAAGCCACCCTCCCCCA